AAAAGTGTGCCTTAGTCGAGTTTTGGTCCTTTTTACTATTTCTGACGGTTTCCCCTCTGCTGATTTGTCACACTCTGATCGGTCTTTCTTTTTTCAGATCTGTTTCGCCTGCGCTCTCGGCAGGAGCGCAATGTCACTCAACTACATGGGTGTCCTCTGTTTCACCGGCATGTCCTACATCGTAAAGAAGCCAATCCTGGACAAGTACGGTGGATACGCATACTTTGGCAAATACCTGGCTGAGGACTTTTTCTTTTCGAAAGAACTACACAAAAAGTAAGTATACGTGTCTGTCTCCTGTCTGGGGCCGAGTTCAGTTCCATGCGCGGGAGCAGGTTGTGTACCCTTTCTCCTCCTCTTCTCCTATGAATTCGTATCCTTGCTTGCTTAAAGAACTCAACTGGGGTGGAGGCGGGGAGAAGGTCATAATGAGTTATGTTTTAGCAATACTGGATGAATATAGGTCTGAAGAGCTTTCGATAATCGACAAGAACGTGTTCCTATAAAGGAAAACCAAATGATTTATCCTCTGGAGGACAGAAATAAAAAAATATTTAATTCCTATTTCGCAAATCAAATGGTAAGCTAGGTAGAAAGTTTAACATCCAACATTGGAATATCTGTCAGAACGCCGGTGAAGGCATTGACGCGTTGAAATCCTCGTGGTTGCCTCGCGCGGCAGCACTAAATTGACCAACTACGTGTCTGGGCTTTCACTTAGTACCCGTGTTAAGAGTACAACGAATCAACCAAGACTTTAAAACGGTAAATAACGAGGAGTTCGACGTTCCCCTGTGTCCAGTACCCTTTTCCATATTTGACGTTAGTGTACATGAAGAAATCTACTTGGGACTTTTGATACTACCGCTCTACTGTGTTATTTAATCTCCATCTGGTCAACGGACTTTTTTGGTTGAATTATTTCATAAGAGAACTGCGTGTACTTACTTAGTGCTTTTTTTTAAAAAGTACAAAGATCCCTGATAGAGGATTCACACCCGTTGCTCTCTTCACCTGATCTGCTAGACTTTATTCAAATGAATAGAAAATCCTACCTTGTGACACTTACCTTGCATAAACTACCTATGTTGCAAAATCATGACTGCAACATGACTGTGTAACAAAAAACGCCTCACAAAATCGACTGTTTACGTTAAACGCCGAGTGTTCTTGCTAGCCAGGTCTCCAACGTGAACTGAGTCAGTGTCGCGTTAAACTAAAATAGATCCACCACACTGACTCATGCTGACGCGATTATGTCTGGACTTAATTTGCATTAGTCAC